GTAAACTTCATTTGTTAAAAAATAACGTGAATTATCTGTAGTACCGAATAGAATATGTGGCGTTTTTAATTTTAGAATGTATGGTGTTTAGAATATGTGGTGTTTCTAAAATACTTTGTGTGGTTACATGTCTGTAAAATCATCATATTACATTATGAGCTATGACAAATTCTTCAACTATATACCCGCGTATGTTTCCTGTTCTTTAATTGTCGTGAAACTAGAGTTTTAAAACTAATCCAGGCCGATTTTCTTCGCGAAATTCATTGGGGAAGCTAAATAACATCGGGATATATTTGTCGTTGGGCAAAAATAATGAAATCCTGCCAGAACCAGCCGAGTTTTCCGGTTGGAACTAAGTCCCACGCGGCCAATTGTGATTCTGACGAAGACGTACACGTACACGTCTGGCCCCCTCCCAGAAAAGCTGTCGCCATGTTTGTTCCAATATTTTTCTGGTAGTCATGATAATAGCATGCGTGGGTTTTTTAAGGACTCGCCGGTTTCATAGTCGACAGGATATATCATGCTGGGTTTTCTTCCTGTTTTTATCCACAATACTGAATAGGAATTTAAAACCAAATTTAAGAGCATTCTTTATGTTAATGCATGCATGCTTTATTCTTACATAACAGCATTTAACAATTAGTACAAATTTGAAACCGTAAGAGGTCTGTAAAATATGCTATATGCATGCTCTTACGTTATTGAAAGGGTAATAAATAGTTCAGTTCCATAGTTCGTAATTTACAGAGCAAAAGTGATTAAGATGTGGATGGCTTTATGGCAAGATATGGCGGACCTCCAACAGGCCAATAAAATATTGTTTGGTCACTGATTTCATGCTAGTGTCAACTTAAATTCCCGGAGTCACGCCACCTCTTCCAAAGTATGATAAGAGACAGATTGCGTAAAATAATTTCATTTATACGAGCTATGCTGAGACCTCAAGCTAGGCGCTAATGTGTATTAAAAACGTAAAATACATCAATGCAGTGACCAGGGACTTATCACTATGTGGACAATTCGTTAAAATTGAGCCTGAACTATATCCGTGTTCGGCAGCAGAGACTGGGACACTGGATATGACCTTTGTATATCTGAGGCATCAGTTTACCATCTTCTTCTTTAATATGCCTATACTTGCGTTTGTCGTTCAATTGACCGAATCATTCACAATCATGAAACATATAACAGGACTATACATTTTTCGACAAAACATTGCGAAAATAACCACTTTTCCGACAGCAATGCATTCTGGTAAAACTAGTATATAACCGCCCATGGGCAATTCAAAATTTCAAATGGAACATATTCTTTAGTTCTTGCAATGTTGGATTATCCTGACAAAAATATCGGTTTAAAACTTCCGTGTTTTTGGTGCTTGATGCTGGTCAAACAATTCCCAGGAAGATTTGACTGACGTACCAGCAGTGAAAGCTATCATATACACGTCTGCTTCACCTAATATGGTAAAGTTTAATCACCCACGGGTCCGCCAATCAGGTTTTATTACACGCACTTTAGTCCATGCACCAACATTAAAATGAGCCAATTCATTCATTGTTGTTTTTATACATTTGGTTCTATTCAAATAACACATAACACATGCGCGGGCATGAACTATAGAGTGTGATTGATCAACCCCATATTTGAACACATGGAGACTTGTCAAAAATAGCCAATAGTTTCATGTTCCCACGCACTTTATTAAATTTTTCATGAAAGCAAAGCGTTTTGAATCGATTCAGGTCCTATGTAAATATAGCAGATCCTTCCAATCTCAGCAACGTTGTTGTATATAAATAGCTGTCAGATAATCACAAGCGACAAGTTATTAAAATTCAAATTCTCTTTCCACTAAACAATTTGATGAAATGAAGGCAACAAGTTGTACAGTGGCGAAGCTAGAGCGTGTTGAACGACGCGTACTGAACACTGCTCTTACGGTTGTTATGCAACGAGAGTTTTTACGACGGGAAAATAGAGGTTTTGTATAAGACCAGCACTCACAAATCATTGAGTTTTATAGTTGATGATATGCAAGACAACCAGTGCACAGATTATATAGACATTTGCATAATTCTTTTATTTTTGACAGTTTATTATCGACGGTCTGCGTTAAAAATGTTTGTGTCATCATTATATAATTTGACTTCTCTAATTTAATTTTTTTGTCAGAGTGACATGTTTTGTCTTGACCCAATAACAACAAACACAAAACGGATCCATCTCACTCACTTGTCCGGAATTTCCTCGACAGAAATGTTTAAATTTCGTGTAAGCAGTGAGCTAAATTGTCCAGAAATTATATATAGATAATGCATATAGGCACTAGCTGTTATCAACGACTTCATATAGTTCAAATGAAAAACATAATTAACGTATTGCGTATTAAATTGTCAAATGGATGATTGTTGCTTGGTTTTGATCCCTTTAAAAAGCAAACACAACGCAACTTTTAATACAAGATTATGTTTTGAAAGATCAATCACAGCTGTAGTTCGCGACAATGTGACAATATTTTTTGTCTTGCAACAAACGTTTTTGTTTAACTGTGGTTTAAGGAAGGCTTTAAATCTTATAACTTAGTGAGACGCCTTTATTGTATGCATGATACCCGAGAGATATATCGTAGACAAGTTAGAAATTAGACCATGCAAATCTTTCATCTTCGTAGATTACCATCAGGATAGGATGTTCATCAAATCTTCGTGACGCATTACAGCACCAGTCTTGATATTATCAGCGTACAGTACAATCGAGAATATATAGCAAGTAGAAAAGTACACTAAATGCGGATGAAGAGTGTCTGACATGCTTCTGCTGATAAAAGAGATTATTCTTTCTGGCATGCTTTACACGCGATATTTGCATCAGAATTTTGCAATGAATTTCGTCTTTTGCCTAAAGAAATCTTACGTCATATTTTGTAACGTTTCGGCATTTTTAAAACGATGACCTTTTCCATAAACTGCTCGAAATATATTTTTAAAACTTTCAACCCTGTGGCAGAAATTAACGTATAACTAAAGATTAAAAACATTAAATGATTGCACGTGTGTTAATATTGTGCTGAAGGCGACCAAATGGTGATTTTCGAATGTGGTATAAGAAGCTAGCTAGTTACGTAATTCAGATAGCATTCGATGGGAAAGAACCCACGCTGGCAGGAACGGAAGAAAATTCGACTTTTAGTACTTTTCAACAAAAAAACATGTAGGCAGGTGTATATAAAACAAAATCCTCTTCATTCTCGAGATAAAAATGTTTTTCACTTTGAGAGGATGATAATTTGAAGATTACTTTCACAAGTAGCGTCAACAATCCATTCCACCCCGGGGTACAAATATGCACATTACTAATTCAACATCCAACGCAGTTAAATTGCCGAATATGCAGAAACAGCATATATCTAAATCCTCGCAAAATTTATCAAATGTTGATTGAGATCAATTCATAGGTTATAATCGCTCTAAGATTGAGTATATATATTGACCAAAACCGGCCTCTCAATCGAGAAATCGCGCTCAGTGTTTTTTTACCAAATCATGCATGCATTAGCCTTTTTTAGAGCTAACTGTTTGAAAAAAACATTAATATATACTAAAACATGCCATTAAATTGTATAGAAAAATCAATCACAGACTTGTACCTGTAGTAAATATTTTTCGCAGACTCATATGATCATATATGGGGTGAATGCAGAATGCATAATTATGGTTTGCATGGCGATGTCTCAAAATGCAAAGTCAGCATATAGCTACTGTATTAAATATGCTAAATACAAGGAGCATGTATACGCAGCTGATTGTGAGAGGTATATTGTTAGGCTGGCGGTTCTTTTTAGCACGTCTCAGTATATTCCAACGGCAAATTGTTCAATCAAACTCGATTTGCATATGAAACACCACGCCGTGTCGTGTGGGTTTGCTGGATTACCGATACTAGCAAACTGCAAAACACCCCGAGGAAGGAGCCATGCTGAGAAAAAATGTTATCAGGGAGAATCAACATTTCTGTCGGGGTTCTAGGTGCGAAACGGAGTGATTTTTGTTAACAATATGCTATGCTCTTACAAGGATATTGGGAGAGTGCAATCATTCAGTTGCATCGCACTCAAACAACATAACGAGAGCTTTTTTTGCAGTTGGAGAATACCGCCAATGTCAATTAATCAGACACAATTGAGTCTTTCGTGTGTAATCCAAGTCTGTTCTGTTAAACACATAATCATTTCAAATTTCGTAGGAAAATTCTTTTCTCAGTCAGCCAATTTTCACCGCTCATTCATCCTGTTCCGACAAATTAAAGAGAAGGTATAGATATTATATTCATCAAGCCATGCATCTGCTTTCAGTTATATTCTGGCAAAAACTCAAGATTTTTTTCTTATAATCTCCGTGTCTATAGAATAGGAAACAATGCTGGCACTGCAGGAAAATTAACTTCTCTCTTGAATCACAGCTATTCATCTTATCTCGGATATGTCTAAAGAAACTAGCTCTCAATAGAAATAGACAAAGTATATCTCTCGTTATTCTATTGAAGATTGACAGGCGCCTTTATCAAAATATTTGAGAAACAGTTTTGGGTATATAGTCAAATGCAGCAGAACACATGAGCACGTTTTCCTCAAGTGGTCTGGTATTTTGAGGTTACTGATGTAAAGTAGGAAAAACAAAATACTTAGAATACTTATAAAACGGGTAATTACTTTTCATTTCAAATTTCAAAAGACATTATCGGAGACAGGAGCTATTTGCAGACAGAAATATTCTGTTATTAATATCCCACTTGAATTAATGATGTTTTTGAAATATATGGAGATAAAATAGAATGCAATAATTGCCTTGTTTTCCGCGTCAGACAGTGTTTGTCATTCAGCTGGCTGTAATATCATTTCAGCTTTCAGCTTCATTTCTGAATTTTATGCGTCGAGAATTTCAATACTTCATGCGTCGAGGATTACTAAGACATTTTATATCAACTAAAATTTATAATTGTTTAACATTTTCCAACCATATATACACATATACAGGAGGTTTGTATTCATGCTGTAGTAATTTATTTACAATCATAGAATCTATAAGATTCCTTTTTCTACACATATAACTTACAAATTGACTGGTTCAGAGAATATTTCTTCTCTATCTTTCAAATTATTATTACATTAATAATAAATAGTTTAAGTGTGTTCAAATCTTTGAAGTGGCAAGTCATACACTTATTCAGTATTCCTTATTGAAATTAATCCTGGCTCAATAAGGCATACGCTATAGCCTATAAGGTTGTCTTGTACGGTGTACAAGACTAATATTTATCTAACTAGTTTAATTTTATTGTTTTTATGCCCATGACAGTGCAATATACAAACGTCTTCTAGAAAGGTAGTCATATTGACTGTATGAAAGAACGAATCTTCACTAATATATCGCAAGGACACTCAGCCAAACTGAAAGATGATTCTTTTAGAGGTTTTACCATCACATATATGGTCGGCCAAACACGCTTTTCTGCACAATTGTTTTCCATCTTTTGCACAAAACGAAAAGCATAATACTATTCATAAAAACTTAAATCGTCAAGTATAAAAAAAATGCTGATGAGGTGACTTGTGAACGTGACATAGCAAAAATTAGAGTAAAATATTCTGACCTCTTTCTTCCGATAATTAAAACCTCAAACATGCATCTAGACTTATTTCAGTTTCATGAATCTAAAAGCCAGCGTTTTAAACAATCCTACTCGTATATCACAGGCCGAGAGAGGGAAATTTCTGCTGACTCTCTCATGTATTCTACTTGGGGGTCCGGTGTGGGAAACTAAGAATGACATTGGCTTGTTTTGTGGTGATAATAATTACCAAAACAAATTAAAAGTAAGCTTGTGTCTCAAAGATCTGAAACGATAGAGTTACGCTCCCATTTTTGGGCATCGCTTCAAATCGTCGTGTGTTTTATGAAAACGCACTTTTAAAGTAATCCCAGTACCCTACGTTCAACCCACTTACCTATGCAATCTTTATCGGAAGGCTTTGGCAAAATTTAATGAATTTCAAGTATATGTAGTTTATCTAATATATGAGGGATTTGTTACTACGAGACATAAACATGCATCAGCCATGGAACATCTGCTACCAAAACACATTTCGTTATGTTAAATGCATGGCAGAACTCCCAGAATCAACTTATCAATAATTCCAAAAACAATAAATTGACGAATGATGTTCCTTTTGGAACAAAACCATATTTTGGCTTTTAGCCCAGTAAAGGCATATGTTTTGGTGCGAGATTTTTAGTTACGAGCATTTTCAAATCCCACTTCATATATAAATATATATATATAAGGCATGCCTCACTATGTAAGTGTATGAGTTTCAGGTGATAATATATAAGTGGGATTACAAAATTCTTCAGATATGTTCTGAGCTATTGAATAATCGTGCTGTCAATCAGTTGAGTCATGTATCATCTGCGTGTAAACATAATAATATTTTTGCTCGGGCCACCGTATATTCTACTGTCATGCATGCATTAATCTCACTCTCGTCACTGCCGTTAGACTTTAATCTGATATAGGAATTTCCCTTGCAGTCACAATATTCCCACCTTCATAGGAAAACAACTTTCTCTTTCACTTGCAGTATCCCGGCGGACTAGAATAGCAGTAATGCTGTTTTTCTCACTTCTTTTTTCCTGAGTGCTGGTTTTTGGGAGTATTCTTCTACACTAGCTCTCACTTTCGTAGTATTAAAATTAATAGGGTCCGATCTCCTTTTACCGGCTCTCCATACGGTCAAAGCTACGTTTCAAAGATGTAAATAAGTCCAAATTTTTGCGTGATTCTCCTGTATCAAAGAAATAAATAAAATATCGCATGAAGAAACTTCATAGACTCTTTTGTCAGACGTTACTTGGGAGTTCGTAAATTCTGTAGTAATCTGACGTCTCATTACAAAGTAGGCAGACGGTAATCTCCAGTATTATTAGGTCTACTCCCGTAGTTCTTCCGCATAGTTTCTTAATAATTCCCAGGGCAATTACATGCAGTGTCTCTTAAACATTCGCGAGTCCATCTTCCCCCGAGTGCACTCCGGAGCCAGCTACAGATCCTTCATCGTATCTATGCGCAGCAATCGGGCTACGCAAATTCACACCAGATGAAATCCGTCTTGAGCGTTCGGTCATAGAGGTCGATCTTGCGTAGCGCCAATCTCGCGGTCTGATGATTCTCTTTGCACCTTCCCTTAGCTCCTTAATCCTTGCAAAGTACAGAAATGGATTGATCACGCCACTTGTATATTGAAAAAACAAGCTTAGGAAATCAAGCCAAAATGATCTGTAGTTCTGAGAGCGAAGTAATGTCACGACCATGTATAGGATCCATAGGAAGACATAAGCAGCGACGGTAATCGCAGTTGTCTTTGCCGTGTGTATTTCAAGCTTTCTCACCCTCTCTTCGACTCGATGTGAATTTTCTGCACTGACAAATTGTATCCTGCGCTTCGCTAGTTCCCGTACGCTATTAAAGAGCAAAGCGTATAAAACAATAAGAGCAAACAGCGAGACAATAAATATGGTAAGAGAAACAGCAGTGGTTGTTGTGTTCGCTAGAAATTCAGCTCTATAACGCGTACATGTCTCCTCTCCAATGTTCACGTCGATGTGAGACCCGATGTATATCGGAAACACCACAATCGCTGCGATTAGCCATGGGGAAAGTACAAATAAGCTTCGAATACTTGTCTTGCTTTTCCAGCTTTGCTTGTAAGCGACAGGATGAACAATTGCGATGTAACGATCCAAACATATTGTAACGTAGGCTAATACCGTCACCGTGCTTGCGAAAGCACTAAACGACAAAAGTATTAAACAAGCTACTTGCCCTTTAAGTGGGGAGTCAGATGGATGCGTTACGATCGTTGCAGTTAGTAAAGGAATGAGAACACCGCTTTTGAGCAAATCAATACAAGCGAGATTCGCCAACAAAATATTTGACAATGATCGCAGTCTCTGTTGTAGAATAACAATAAACGCGACAATGCCATTGCCAGCCAGACTTGCTATAGCGAGGGCAACCATTAGACTCGCTTGTATAATTCGTTCTTCTTTTGAACTGTTATAAAATGCATTTGAAGTGTTATCATATTCGCTGTTGTTTCCATTCTGGGCTGCCATAATTTACACAATGTATAATTAATCTATATCTGTTCTTCTTCAATTCGCCTTAGCGCGTCTCTTTGAACGGTTTAAGGTTCGAAGACGACTGAAAAACACTCCGTAGACAATGATTCCACTTCACCAGAGTTGAAGAGTCAACTTGAAGCAGATGTTTGACATTGTTTAGTTGAAGCCTAAGCCTTTCCGAAGTTGTTATGACAAAATGAAACGATGTTCACCACCCGCTGTCGGCAATAATGCTTGCTCAGTGAAAGTATTTAGCGCGTCCAAAATATACGCGATAATATATGCAATCTGCATTAAATCCTCCTCAACGTTGCCGTTAAACTCGCACTATTCCGACGCACGGACTAGAATGGGAAACGAGTGCTATGCCTCGGTCTTCGTGTAATGTCACGTTAACAGAAGCTCAATATTTCGAGTCTGTGTCAATTGATAGGTCGCATGAGCTATACGACAAGTGACGTTGTTGTTGATGCTTAAATGCTGATCACTAGCAAATATATATTATAGTCTCCCGAAACGACCTATAAAGTCATTTGGCAACACTTCACACATTGATAACTCATTCCTGTCTTCCCCTTATCGTACACCGCAACAATGGACACGCGAGGTATTTATATCTGGTGCCAACTCGTAAACAACATACTTCGAATACGATAAAGACTAAACCTTAAGCCTTATCCAAACACGCCAACTTATGTGCACTTTAAGAACATGACATGCAAGGCTTAAATTTAATAAAAAATATGCTTGAAAACGTAAGGAAATTTCAGCTGCGAATTGCAAAACATTGGCGGTTTCAAAATACGTTTTCCAGATCTTGAATTCCTTGCATGCCTAGACGGTGTCACGTTTCCGCTTGCTGCGGGAAAACAACAATTTTTGTTTAGAAATTTTTTGCATGAAGCGGTTAGCTTTTTCTCGAGGATAGCGAGTCGTGGGAAAATTTTTAAGGAATGATGCTATATGTGGGGGAATCTCGTTCATATTAGACGAACTATATAAAAAAATGGAAATAAAAAAGAAAAAAATTGTAAAAAGTTTTATTAAAAACAAGCAGCTGGTGATATTGGCTGTCCAGTTCGATAGACTGACATATATATCCCCTATGCACTCAGTTGCATACAGGGATGCAAAACATTTTGTTTAGAAACACTTCTGAAACTATCGTTCCAATCTAAAATTGTCAAATCTCATGACAAACTGCAACAAAAATCCCAACACAATTCACAAGTATATAACACAGAAAATCTTTCATATTCAAACATAAATCTTTCATATCACAATCTTTCTTATTTAAACTAGTTTTTAATATTGAACAGATCAATATTTAAGCCTAGAACCATGTAATTTTACGACTTTCACTAAGTTCCATAGAATGAAGTCTTGTTTTTCCACCGCCTCTATATGACCATTATTCCTTGCCATCTTCCACGCTTTCGTTTCCTTCATGTTACAGAATCATGATCCTCGATCCTCCAGCCACGATCTAGTTAGTGTTGTCGAGGAAACGAGTTTTCATTTTGGATCTGGCTAAATTAAATTCAGATTGCTGTTTATTTAGTCGCTTTGCGGCAAAATTCATTTTGCCATTGACCCTTGCCTGGTCCGTGGTTGCATCCCATGGACAAGCCTAACCACATCCAAGGGAGTGAAACCCGCTAAAATATAACAATATTGTGGCAAATATTTCTGGAAATCCCCACATTTCGATGTTTTAAGGCTCGTTATCCCTCGTAAACGATAGAATATATTGTATTCTTCATTGAGATTAAAATGCGGTGAATATATTCATTTCTGTAAAGCAATAAATATGAAGCCAAGGAACTGCGTGGGTTTGTATATATATGTACACATTATACATAATATATATAATATATATAAATGTACATACGCCCCCAAGGATACTTATAGCCTTGGTATTAAACCTATATAGTATATTACAGAAGGAATGAATGTTTACACTTTAAAATTTTAAATGCATGGAACCCGTGATGGAACGAGCTCTGTTATTGAAACAGTTGCACGATTGTTTCAGCATGCAACAGCCATATATTGAGATGCGTGGAGCCTTAATTTGTTAAAATGGTCGCGCCCAAAAAACTCTCTGCTTATCTTTTCAATAATATAAAAATATTTTCTTATCACTTTATTTATACCCAAATTATGCTTAAGAAAAATGAAGCTGTGCACAAGATCTTTAATTGCAATAGTCCGGCACCAATGCCAGACACATGCATCCAGGATGGCAAAAAGCCAAAACGCTTTCTCTAATTGCCAAAAACACTTTCGTTATAAATATCTTTACCATAGAGATGTAGATTGGTAAATAATAATAATAACAATAATAAAGGTTTGTCAGACTATAAACAAAGCACTTGTACTCGATCGGACTTATCTCACAAATATTATCCCAATTTTACCGCAACTTAGCGACCGTTTGATTCTCGTTATTGTTGAAGACCCACGAAGCTCGTCTTAGACGGGAAACTCGTCTAATGCGAATCCGGTCACAGACGGGTTTCTCGTCCGAATTTACCCGTGTAACTTAGACGGGTAAATTGGGCGGGAATCCCGTCTGGACGAGAAACTCGTCTTAAATTCGCATTTAGACGGATAAATGGGACGAGTTTCTGAAATGGAACGGAACAAGGCTAAGTAAGAGAAAACGAACAAAATTTTTATCGTAATAATTACGATACCCTTTTTGTATTACCCGACCCATCACATGCACGTATACATTTATCCACTCCTATTCATATTTAGACGGGTTTTCACCATCAGCTTTCCCGTCTTGAGGTTCAAGTCTTACAATGACTTACCTTGCACGTAAGTAAGGAAATGGGATGTTGTGCATGGTCATGGGTCGTATATATATATAAATTCATGAGTTTTGTCCATAGTGCAAAAGAAAAACGACCGAACCTATGCAAAAAAAAGTCATAAAATTCTAGAAATGGTCAAATGGACCCGGGTCGTCGACTTTACTGCATGACGTTCATAAAGTCACGTACCTGGTATAAGTTTTGAGACAAACAGTTCGTGACTAATGATTCGAGCTCCCTACAATATTGGTATGATTTTGGTTAATTAAATACTCAAATTAAGTTCTCAGTCTATAGTTTATGATGTGATTGTTATCTTTCCTCGGAACTGCGAACTCAAAATGACGCGCTCTTCAAATTGATAATTAGGTACCACTCGAAATATTGTCCAAGTGAGCCCTACTCAGAATTATGTTATTATATCCATGCAATGTTTGTTCAACACTTTGCTTGGATAACCAGCTTGCACTTGCATACCAAGTCAAATCTTCATACAATGACATTACTGTATTTTTGTTAGCTAATGGGATATGCTAGCAGCTCGGAAATGATTATGGAATGCCAGCAACTTGCAAGTATTCCATTGTTATTAAATTAGCCACACAGCGGGCTGCAAAATCACTCGTTCAATTTAGCTGTCTGGTTGTATGCTATAATTGGGACATATGAGGTACGCTCTTGGGTAAAATCACAGCGGTTTGACGTCAATGGTAGATTGTATGTCAATGCTGGTATTGTGTGTCAAGCTATTGCTACAAACACGGTCATAATGATACAGTCTCGACTAGATTGACAGCGTTAAGTCGTCACGAAAACCCAGTTGGCTCAATATAACTCATTTATTAGTAGAGTGCATGGCTGATTAGACGTCGAAGTTAAGTTAATGTTTTTGACTTTTTGTTGTTTTTGATCAGCTTTGAAAATGTACAGATATAGATTTATTTGAAGCATGAAGTTTGATAAGTTAGTTACTTGACAATGAAAGTGTTACAATGTGTTCATTTAACGTACATCGCGATTTATCGCGATTCGTTTTTGATGAACGTTGATATACATCATCTACAAAATCGATCTGACAAATTTTAATGTCCACAGAGTACCAGGAATCGCACACGCAGTTTCATTTCGGTAAAACAGTTTCAAAAAGGATGATTCATTCCAATAACCTCAGCCTTATAACTAGGAATAGATGCATGTCAGGATCTGATAAAAACAAGAAACGAAATGAAAGGTTGACGATTGATTTTATGAAGGAAAGGACATTTTTCTAAACTTGCTTGAAGCACCGTACAACATATATTAATACTAAAATACCAACGTTTTTGACACAAGCAATCAAACGTATATCCCTCATTACCATCACATAAAATGAATCTATCTTTGACGAGATTCAAACAATTTGAAAAATGGCCGAGGGATATGTTTTGATCACAGAGTGAGCGCAGTCATATGTGTTCGTTATTCGACACCAATTGACATTCATTCATCGGTATTATTTCTTCCATATCATGCATATATTTATTAGCTAAGTATTTTTTAAGATGGATATATTAAATTTATAAATAGGAAGGATCTTAAAATATGTAGACTCATGCAAGAAAGCCATTATGATAGATCAGTTCCAACCTAATGTATGCTATGAGACGAAGATGAAGAAGAAGAACTGTAGGTAGTGTAAGTCTATTCTACGACCATTTTAATTTGTAGAATTGTCAATTGTGGATGCCGTTTGCATGCGAAATACTTTTCACATGACACATGCAGTTCAGATATGTATTATGATAAATTGGGAACATTATGATATTGTGGATCATTACAGACAAGCTGTATGACTGCATGATTGATCTAATAGCGAGATAGTACTGATCTTAGCCCAAGTGTTATAATTGACCATTCAAAATTCAAATTATGTCTTGGTATAGAGGACTTAAGGCCCGGTCATGGTGCAATTTTTCCTGCAACTTGCAAGTCTTCTTTTGAGAGCTTTAAATTTGGCAACTACCAAACTTCTGTCTTTATTACACTCCATGCATGGCGTTTCTTACACTTACATTTTGAAGACTCTTCACTAATTTACATCTCGTAAAAGTAGAATTGTATTGCAAGTTGCAAGAAAAATTGCACCGTGTAACGTGGCCTTTAGTGTAAGAAGACAGAAACAATAAATAATGCGAACAATGTTTATTTTGCAGTGAGGTTTTACACGAATCTAATAGCAATTTTTTTTTCTCGCCACGTGCACTAAGTTGTGTGCATTTAAATGCAGATATAATTGAAAGATAACGTGTTGTTTTTGTCAGTTTATATCGCTGAGTTTTGAAATTGATCGAATTATTTTATGATCATTTATTGTGAGAGGTGTATTGACACATGTGGCTTTGGTATGAACGATCAACTATGCCAAGTAAACTGATCATGGAAGATAAACTATATTAATAGACACACACACACACATGTGAGTCCATGTGAGTGCTAGTGCAAGTCCGTTATCATCCTTTCGGATAATATCTGAAGAAATATTTTGTGAATTGTGATTAAACATACGCGAAAAGAAATATCTTAATAACCGTTTTGCCTAAATTAAACCAGATCCCGTGCCATTGCTGAAGCTACGTACGTAGCTTGAATCATGAATATCAGTGGAACGAAGTGAGGAAAATTCAGCCAAAGCGGGTTAGTCAAACACTTTGTTTAACGCCAACTGCCAAATTAGTCCGATAAGAGAAAAAATAAATCATCAACTTTTACGGAGTAAACAGTAGATATGAAAATTTAATTCCACGAAAGCTGTGCATGGCTTTCTTTTTGTTCATTTTTGACAATTTGGCACCAATTTATTCGCAATCGAATGATCATATATGTGACTAAAGGAGGTTTATTGACTTATTGTTACTAGATTTAAAACTTTCAAAATTTCGCACATTTCTCAGTATATGTAGTTTTTTCACCTACAGGTAAAATCGCAATCTTGAAGATTTTGAACGAGCCGAGTCTACTCCCCCCCCCCCAACAGGACGACTCGAGTGCCCCCTCGAATACACCCCTGGCTGATACACCTCTTGCATAAAATTTTACCGTAATTTTAGTTATTTTACCTAATTTACAAGGAAGAAATTGCTACCCAGCTTTCCCTCCAGTTTTCTCAATTTCGCAGACTCGAAGTGTAGAAATTTCGCGCTCGTTTTCGATCACGTGACGGGACTCGAGTGCAAAAGAAGTCGGCCATTTTTAAATGTAGAAACAACGGGAATAACAATAGATTAAAAACTCTTGTTTTACAAGGATACCTTGGCAATGTGTGAGTACATTCGAGTGGCTGAGGACGAACACGTTCCTGAGGATGCTATCGAACTACCCAGCGACGAAGATGGTAGTATATTATTGTCCACAATTCAAGCGCAGTTTCCCGGAAGCACCGGACTAAGATTTCGAAACGAAGAAACTCAGACATGGCGAGGTGTTAGAATCGCTGATGGCGTCTTATTTCCGCCCGTGACCGGCTGGGGAAACAATCTGTATATTGTTGTTGCAAATAAATCTGGTGGTGTGTACTGTTTTAAAACAATAATGCGCAAAAGACTTTATATTATTTGAATACTAAACATTAAATGTTGACATAAGTTATTGTGTTATAATAAAATTTAAATATTATAAAGCCAACCACTTATTATGCTTGAATATACCATATTTGTATTGATATTCATGACTGTCTTTATATTAGATTTATTTTAAAACTTCAGTTGACAGTTCATCAAAGAGAAAGTACGAGGAATCACCTACTGGACGAGAGCTTCATACCAAAATCATGAAAAACTACTCAATGGAAACAGATGAAGAATTGCTGAGTGATATGATTATCCTAGGACTCTCTTGGAAGGCTAAAGATGAAGATATCCGAGATTATTTTTCACGTTTTGGAGAACTTGATTACTATGAAGTATGTTCAACGATGGTACCATTGTAATCCATTCCTTTCTGTCGACTGGAAGAATACCATGCACTGAAAATGATTCTACATTGTTTAGGTGAAGCGTAATATACAGACTGGCCAGTCCCGTGGATTTGGTTTCATTCGTTTTAAAGAAGCAGAGGTTGCAAAGGCAGTGTTATCTCGTAGTCATACTATTTTGGATCGAAGAGTCGACATAAGGTTATCAAAGGGAAAGGTTTGTTTCAGTGTTCTTCCTGTGAATAGCAACACATTTTAGTACTTTCTTCTTCATTACCATACTCCAAAAAATCTTTTTTCCAGGATGAGTCACCAAGAAAGATTTTCATTGGTCGACTTCCAACCAATTGTACAGTGTCAGATGTTCAAAATTACTTTGAGAAATATGGTAGACTGTCAGATGTATACCTACCCCAGCCCTATCGGCAATTTGGTTTTGTTACATTTACATCATGTGAAGCTGCTCGCAATGTACTTTCACGTGTGCATATAATTAATGGATCTCGTATCAATTGTACACCGGCAGAGCCAAAATCACAAAGTAAGGGTCATGGACACATGACACGTTCCCATGAAAGCCCTGCATCCCCACGTGAAATGAGAGGGTTTTGGAATGGAAACATGGTACCATATGGGAGCTTCCCTGAGCGTGGTGGATCAACTTCCTTGGCGAATCAGATGAATGCAATGTGGAATATGGCAGCACTAGCCCAAGGAATGGCAGCTGGAATGGCTGGTGGTATGGGAGGTAGTATGGGATCACCAATGACTATGAGTGGTATGAATGGTATGGGTAGTACAGGTGGTGGAATGCCATCATCGCATATGGTTAGCAGCATGAGTGGAGGGAATGGGATGGGAATGAGCCATGCAGGATCAAGTGGGATGGATGGAAGTACCAGTGAAAGGTGGTAGATAGTAAGTGGAGAGGAGAAGGTCATGTGAAAAACCAAGACTGCGTCAGATAATGAAAGCAGACTGACGTTTTATATGTTTTTCAGTGTTGTGAATAAAGTAAGGAAAGTAGATAATAGATTATATTATTTGGAGTTTTACTTTTTTTTCAATTTTTCTTGTGAATAAGAAACAACTACATATATCACCCATCACTAAGATCCATTCAGAAAATATTGGTGTGTTCTAAATCCCGATTACTCAGTAAATTCTTTGTGGTGTAAGGTTGAAATGTGGGAATAGAATTCTTTACGAGGAAAGAGAAAAGATACAAAGAAAAGTGAGCATTTTGCATTGATTGAGGAAATGATTTTGAAAGGAAATTGTATGAAATTGTGAAGGGAAAGTTTGAGGAAAGAACGGCAGAAATGTGAGCACTCTGTATGAAAGGTGTTAAAAGAGAATTTTTAATTTTGTCAATATTAAGATAAAATAGGCAACAAAAGATGTATGTACAGATTAAAGCTCATAAGGAGATAAAGGTGAGTGGATCTCTAGCTTTGTTGAAAAAATTTACTTACAGATGTAATGTTTTTAACTAAAGATGTTTTAACAAAAACTCCAGCTATTGCAATTATATATTTCTAGAATCAGGTAATTTTGATGGTGGAGCAAAAAAGGAGTGAAAATTAAACTAATTGTACAAGGTAACAGTGAAATTTTGGAGTTTATTGCTTCATGTTTCAGTATAAACAACCACCATACCTAACATTGTACTAGGCAGTTAATCATGTTGAAAAACATATCATTTTTAATGGGCACAAGCAATGTTTGGAATACATTTCTAATGATTTTACATACAAACTAAATCAGATATCAATAATATACATCAATTTCTATATTACTTATCTGGTTTGTATTTTTTTACAAGAAATAACATAGCATAAAGTATACATCTACTATGCTGCTGTCTTTCATTGGTAAATAATCAAACCAGTCAATTTAAATAAAATATGTCACACTTTTGCCTCCTCTGCAGGTTTCTCATAACTGGCCATCATTGTCTTGATTTTTCCAACAGCTTCTCCTGGATTCAGGCCCTGAAGGAAGAAGAAGGAATGAGATGCCATTAATCTTCTAATGTGTACATCATTTGGTCTCCTTGTTTTTTTCTGAAACCCAGGTAAAGCTAGGATATGGCAATACAAACCTTAGGGCATGTCATTGTACAGTTCATAATTGTGTGACAAGGGTAAACACTATGATGATTATCCAGCATTGCTAATCTCTCATTCTGGTAGTGATCCTGAAGAAGAGATATAAATATGGTAGCTTTTGATTGCTGTGTTTTTTATAAGCTAGAAGATTTCTCATATACAGACAATGTATTTTACATACCCTGCTGTCAATCATCCATCGATAAGCCTGCATTAGTACAGCAGGTCCCAGATATTTCTCACCATGCCACCAATAGCTTGGACAGGACGTTGTACAACAGGCACACAAAATGCATTCATACAGGCCATCCTAAGTAAGAAACCCAATATATTTGTTGACAGCATACATCTTTGTTGACAGCTATTGTCACTAATATCTTTCCTTCGAAATGTCATTTTCCCGTACCATATAGTACCGTTTTGTGTCGTATTGTTGTGTGTCAAATGATGTAGTTATACTATTGTTGTCATTGTGTCTAAATTTGTCAACACAATAACATTAAATGTAAATCATGTTTAGTGGAATAAGATTTTCATTGCATTAAACCTTCAGGAATAGCATGAAATGTTTTTAAACTCATTTTTTATTATTTAATTCTAATCTGTGTTTTGTTTATCGTGATGATTTTACTTGCCAGTTTCGCACGATCTTCTTGTGTTTGTAATAGTTGTTCTTTTCCTGCTACCATGTCATCTTTGCGCATAAGGTATGGTTTTATTGAACGATATTGGTCATAGAAATGAGTCATATCCTACGTAAAATAACAAATAGAAAAGGATAAAAAAGCCAGGGTATAATAGGATAACAAATTTCTAATAAAAAAATTAAGCCTACTTACTGGAACAAGATCTTTAATGACGTACATATGAGGTAAAGGATATATTTTTTCCTTTTTATTTGATGCACCGTCAATGCGACTTTTAAAACACAAACAGACAAAAATTAAATTGTTTTTTGACATGTTGTATTGACGCAAAAAAATTGTATCTTACCAGATACAAGCTAATGTATTCTTTCCACCAATGTTCATTGCGCATGATCCACAAATGCCTAAACAAGAATTGCGTCATCTCGTTTTGCACCCAAATGTGAAACGATGTTCTTTAATTTTCTTATTAATATCCCTTAACTCTTTTTACCTTCACGACATGATCTTCGAAATGTTAGCGTCGGATCAATTTCGTTTTTTATCTTAATCAAAGCATCGAGTACCATAGGACCACAGCTATAAACATGCACAAAAAAGCGATATTTAAAAATATTGTAATCGTAATTATGCGTTTGTATGATAGCGTTCTGGTAGTAGTAATATAGACCTATCTAAGTCCACTTCATAATCTTGCATTCGTGGTTTATCTCCAGCCTTTTCGGGGTCCTAAAAATGGGATAAGTAAAAACGATGTTGTATAAAGTATAATATTGTATACAATGCGTTTTAAAAATCAATTTATAGTTACCCAGCGATAAATCGAAAATGTTTTTGTCCTTTTTGCTGTACTTGCTGCTGTGGAAGCTGCTGCAGTTGCCTGTAGGTAGAAAAGTAGAAATTTCTATGTTAATCTTCATTTCTACCGCATTTTAAATTCATAAAATCTTTACAAAACAGTACAATCAAATCGATACACATACGTCATTAAAATTGCAATAAAATATATGCTTTGCAAGATAACTAATGCTATGCACAACAATATCCTTCAATAATACGTATACTCAAATAAAAATGTACCTGGATTAAAGGTAGGGTATTGTTTTTAATCAAGTTTCGACCAAAATATAGTCCTCTCAGCGTCGCCATTTTGGACGTGCGTTATGTCATCAGTTATGTCATCGTCTCATTGATTGCTTAATCACTGAGCCAGCGATATATATGGTGTACTTGATGTAGGCTTGTTCTTGTGTCTAAATAAGGTAAGTTCAGATTTTGGAATTAAACAGGTTTGAGAACTTCACTCGTTTAAATTAAATAAAATTAATAGAGTAATAGCATAGGTTGAAAAATTTGAAATATTTCCATTGATAAAACTAAATGTTTTAAAGAAAGTCCGAAACAAGTTAACAATGACCTATATTTAGACCAATGTAATATAAAATGTAAATAGTAGCGTTTTTAGAAAATATACTAAACACAAATCAACAAATAAAAAGCTCTTTTATTCTTAAATCATTCTTTCATCATAAGTAATTGCTGACGAATCTATTATAAATGCGCAGTCACGTCCTTTTTATGAGAATAATATTTATGGGAATTGTGGAAAACACTCAAGTCAATCCTGCCGCCGCCATTTTGCCATAGTAACCAGGCAAATATTTCACGCGTGGAGCTGTGTAAAAAGTGCGTGGGATAAATTTATTATCCTCGGCGCGTTGTGCTTTTGTCAACATTTATCTCATCGTATTACTTGATCTTGGCACTTGATTTGAAAATATGGGACTTAAGACTAACAAAGCAACAAAAACCACCAAATTGAATTGTCAGGTATGTCTTAACATTGTAAAATATCCCACAATATAGGACAGAATATCGTCTGTATTCATGTGATTGACTGAAGTTCGTATTCGCAGTTGGCAGACATTGTAATTTGGTCTTATTATATATTTATCCATTCATATTATCTGTTTCCAAGTTGACTATCCATTAACTTTGTATACTAGAAACGTATAGTTTATTTATTCTTATGTTATTTGTATTATTTTTTGAAATAGCGTACATATATTTTGAAATAATTTTAAAAATGTCTCAATTATGCAATGAATGAATTTTGTAATACCGACTTGGCGTTTGTATGAGAATAAACACTATTGTTGGCTTTATGCTTCATTGTAAATAGCTAGCTGTGTATAATTACGTGATCATATAAGACCTACACACCTTAAAATGTAAATTTGTCATAACATGTCCAAGGCAAAGCTATAAGTAGTGCTGAATATGGGCTAAGAGCGGAGATCCGGAGCCTACTTTGGCTTACGGTTACATCCGACAATAATTAACTGTCTATAAAATATTTACATTTTCTAGTTCGAATGCCATAGTTCTCCTGTTCCGAGCGCAATAATAACAGATTTAAGTCGATAATTAGGCTTCTAAACTTTGATATTATGCTTAATGCATTCTCGGGATATGGGGAGTACGGCAATTATAAGTATCATGATGCAGTTGATCTATAAGATACCGATTAAAAAATGCAGTATTCTGTTTTAGTATGTTGGGTCTTTCGCTGTCAGAGATGGAGATAAACAATTGCCTTCTTCGGAGCAAAGCAAATTTGTTGATGAAAAACTAAAGAAATGCACCAAAGTAAGTAAGATATATCTTAAATTCCAAGTAAGAAACATTAACTATAGATTACAGTCATTTTATAAACATTAACTAGATTATAATACGTTGTTTTGAAAATAATCTTCTATATAGTTTATTGTGTTTTATTGTTATCATCAACCAATAGCAAAGCTTGTTCATATAGGTAGCTACCGATCCCCTAAATCCGATCCAATGTATGGGGAAGATATAAACCTCTTTTTTTTTTTTAGAAACTTCTGGATGGATCGCCAGTTTGCTTGCAGGTTTCCCCCGATGGCATCCAAGTCTTGACTTCTGATGAGAAGGTTCGTTTAGTGATATCTTTTGGAGTCATACGCTTCAACGATTTTTGTTGATTAAAAGTTTATAAAAGATATATTTTACCTATTCTTACACTAGACGGTCAAAATGGCGCACACTTTACGGCGTGTCTCCTACGCCACAGCGGAACCCACGAACAAGTTATTTGCCTACGTCACTCATCAACCTGGGACTGACATGGAAATCGTATGTCACACCTTCGTCACAAAGAGAAAAGATTATGCCGAAGGATTGAGTGCAGCTCTTGGAAAACTTTTTAAACAGAGTTTCGCCTATACTCTTAAACGAAGGGATAAACTAGAAGAGGCAGCCCAGAAAAGAGGGGGGAATCGACGCTGGGCAAAACACCAGGTGGGTTGTATTTGCTAAGTTTCTGCATTCTTAGGAAGAAGCAGATAAGCGCTTCTCGCTAATTGATCAGTGTTCTTTTGCTAGGTCGCCGCAGGACACGGCGTTAGAGCAGTGCAGCCACGTAACGAAACCACGAGGTCTGCCAATACCGGTGAGGTGAAGAATGAAAATGGTGCTACATCTAGAACTCCAGCGCAGCAAAGACCAAACCAAAATGCATCTCCTGTGACTAAAAGTGAGGAAACTCGGCCAAAAAGGAGAACCCCACCTGGAATTCCAAATAGGTCACCTTCCAGTGAATTAGATGATCCATTCTCGACCCCTCCTCAGGCTGATACTGTTCCTTCAACTCAAAGTGTTCTTTCAACTCCTGATGCTCATCAAACTTCTGATGTTCACCAAGCTCCTAATTTTTATCCAACTTCTAATGTTCATCAAACTTCTAACTTTTATCCAACTTCTAATGTACATCCAACTCCTAATTTTTATCCAACTTCTAATGTGCACCCAACTCCTACTGTTCATGAAACTCCTAATTTTTATCCAACTTCTAATGTGCATCAAACTCCTAATGTTCATCCAACTCCTAATGTTCACCCAACTTCTAATGTTCATCCAACTCCTAATGTTCATGAAACTCCTCATTTTTATCCAACTTCTAATGTGCATCAAACCCCTAATGTTCATCAAATTCCTGGGCAGACACAGCAAGTAGGGAGTCTAACCTCTCCTAACCAACAAGAAACCTCATTTACTCCTCCAGTCCCCTCTCGCTCTATGCAGCAATCATCCTCTTTTGAGGACCAAGCTCCTCCTTTACCCTCGCGATCGCAACCTGGCAGACGTCGACTTTCTTCTCCCTCTAGTCAAGAAGCGGACATTCCCCCAGAATTGCCTAGCCGTAGTCTCCCAAGAAGATCAAGTGCCCCAAATTCACCTGAAAGTGTTTATCCACCTTCCTCACTGAAACACTTCACATCAGATTCAAGCGTTGGTTTTCAGGCATTAGGTCATTCTCAAGTGCCTCCTAGTCATGTTTCTAACGGCGAGCGTAAGTTTAGTGCCCCACCAAACCTTATGCCACCCTCACCAAGACACCCCCCATCAAGTATGCTTCGCAGATCATCCTCAAGTGGGGATGAATACCCCACCCATCAACCTAAAGATATGGAGAACGCCGCTGCCGTGGCGTTACCTGGATTAGGCAATATGCCGCCGCCGTTACCACGTAAATCAAGACAGCAAACTCCCCCAGAAATTCCTGAAGAAGTTATAACACCGGAAGAGGATGACAGACTGAGACAAGGGGTGGGTCAAGAAGCAAGAATCTCACTTACATTGGAAGACGAGGATTGGTATATTCCAAATGTTTCAAGGTACGACAAGGCGTAAAATTTTCTTCTATACTTCCAGTGAATCTATGTACGATATAATCATTCTATGTCTTTCAGGGATGCCATTACTGAGATGCTAGAATGTTCCGATATTGGATCATTCTTTGTCCGGGACAGTCAAAGTTGTCCAGGATGTTACGCATTGACTATGAAAGTCGTCAAAAGTAAAAATAACCCTACAGGTTTTGGCCATTATTTGATCACTCCTAGTGGAGGTGGATTTTCACTACAGGTAAGGTTATGCCCTTCAAATCATCTCTGGTATTTTAGGCCCTCACGCGATGAATTGGATAGTAAAATACTTTGGGGATGTCTTTAGACAGATTGTCTTGAGCTTCCATCCTTTGATCTACCCAGATGGAAGTTCTTCTCTTATATATATATTTCTTCTTTTCTTCTCCACTTCCATCATTCAGGGATTTGACAAAAGTTTTCCTGACATTTCAACTTTAATCCGTCACTACTCCTCCTGTGACGATGGTCTACCGTGTCAGTTGATACTTGCTGGTTCGAATCCTCTATTTCATGACGCCAACGGTTACCTGGTAGAATTTATGGATGACGAAGAAGATATGTATGGCAATCTATCCGACTGTTCGTCAATGTTTCGGGAACTCAACATGAATGATCCATGGTAAACCAGCAAGCTGCCAGTTTTATATGGGCACTCCGTAATCATAAAGTTCAACGTTTGAGGTCAATTGATTCACATGATTCAATTTCTTTTAAATGTTTTATACAGATTTTGCCACGAATTCTAATGTGAACCTCTGTACAGATTTGTAATCATTTGTACAGAGTTGTCCCCGTATATTTTATTGTACGTTATAAAATCTACTAATTTGGAGGGTAATGTCATGGGAAGTTAATATTGTTTTTATAAGTCATTTTAATCTAACCATATAAATAAGGTAACCATACGACTTAGGGATGATAATTAGAATAACCATTTGTATAATTATTATATATATAATGGGTATATTTTTCATTCTCTCTATCAGTTCTCAAGCAGACGGCAATTTTATGTCCATAGCAAAATAACATTGAATTTATGTAGGATATCACAACCGATTTCTAGGAAATTGTACACCAAGACTGTCTAGCTGTTGATCCCGCACTTTCGTTTTCGTCTTCGTCATCCGACGATTCATCTCGGTTTTCGTCGTCAGACTCGTCGCTTGATTCTGTGTCGATCTGCTCTGTGCTGCTGTATCGTTTTATGTGCTTGGACGTTATGAAGGATGAATCGCCATCCGACCTAATAAGAACAAGCTTTTCGTAACTCTTGATCTGTATACTTAGTTGATCTGTAATGGGATTGCATGCAACACAGAGAAATACCAACTCATACAATACCATCTATCTACTTCTCTCTTTTTGGTGACATATTTACCTTGTTCTCTTTCTAACTTTACTTTTGGCCATCTGGTCCCATATTTTCAATTCGTTTCCGCCAGTGCACAATCTTTGGCACAGTGTACCGTCCTTTTGAACTTCAGCGCAACATAAACACGAGATGTAACTCGTGATTTCGTCGTCTAAAGTCGCCAAATATTCTTCGTCTGGTAATGTGCGGACTAGAGGCAATGGTAGAAAACAAAAATCAACTTGTTTTCCAGCTGTTCACCTTGAACTTTATGCAAAATTTTACACTTACCGTTTAAATAACCAGTTCCCTTATCAAGATCGTAACCAGAGCTTACGAGTAACGAATCTTGGACTGTTAAGGCACTGGTTGTACCAAATTCAGTGAGATGATTCCTCAGCTTTCGAACTTTACCTGCGTTTCAATAGAGAGTGGTGTTATCATATCGGATGAGTATAAAAAGAAATTTTGGCACAACCAAACTTTTCTACCTGCTCTAATATCCAATGCTTTGACATTGGCGCCATCGTCACCCCAGTAAACGACGTCATCTGTTGTTGCTAGGCAACGAATACGCCGCCTTTTAACGAAACCTGTACTCTGATCATGAGAAGATAATGATGGAGATAGGGATTTCTGTCTGACGTCCCAAACTTTAACTGTCCCAGTACTTGATCCACTTACAACTCTCTCTCCCTGAAACTGAGATACGAAAGAGACATGTTCACGTTCAAACTGAGACATATTTGGAGGAACTCGCCTGTGTATAAGCTCACCTTTACACAACTAACAGCATCGTCATCAGTGTTTCGTGTCGAAGAAAGGTTTCCACCTACTTCAATATCCCATAACTCTATCTTTCCTCCTTCTGAGCATCAAAAAATAAAGAAAAACAGGAACTTCTCTCAATATATGTAATATTCTGAGCCAATTCTATTACTGTCACTCATATGGCACATCCACTCACCAGATCCGGAAACCAGGGTGCCTTTCCTTCTGTCCAATGACAGTACCGGTGAATAGGCGTAAATTGATCGGAGAGACGTGCCTGAAAGAATGTGGAATATTACCATGCGACCGTCTATAACTCATTATATTCATTACGAGTCTCACAAAGATGTATAAAGGAAATAAATCAATCACCATCAGCTAGCGACCAAATCCTGATAGAGCAATCATGAGAGCCAGTCACACCAATATATTCTCCATCACCTTGTATGAAAAATAATTTGTTTATTTCTTGAACTATTTCCTCTTGCTGCGCACATTACTGCTTACACATTCACAGATTTACCATGTATTATTCTGACATTATGGGTAATGGTTTTACTAACCCTGGTCATCTTTTTTTACCAAAACTACTGAAGTTATTCCACCAGTATGACCTCCAATGCTACGAACTTCTTCTCCGGCGTCTGTGTCCCAGACCTTTAGCATCGTGTCGCGACTGTTTAAACAAACGTTTAAAATCATGAAATGCCTTTTAAATAAGTTGATTTAAAAACAAACGGATTGAAACGATTGTTAAGTTTATGTGCTACAGACAAGTGTTCCTGCAGAGCTCCATCTTTATAAAAGATATCCAAAGTTGTGCTTACACAGTGAGCATTTCTCTACTCTCACAGAGAGACTCGTGTCTTCAAAGTGGTTTTTAATCATTGCATTCTATATACCAGAGCAACTAGGCCACACCAAAATTTCGTATGCCACAACCAATTCCCCATGAAGCAACAAATATTCAAACCTTTTATGTTTGCATGGCAAGTAAACAATCATGATATGACATCTACTATACGCTACGGTTTGAATTTGAAAAATATATTTATCCCGAAAGAGGTTAACCACTACCTGCTGTGATTTTGAAGTGTCACGATTAATTATACAACCTCGGTCCCTTATTTGCCTAGTATAAGTCTCGTAAGAAAAATCTCTTTTAAGTGTAAAATTCGGTTTACACTTTCACTTCAAAAAAACGGAAAGTATTAAGAGTGTAAATTCCAACACAGATTTCGTTCATGATAATTTACATATTGTCACTGATCACCGGGTCGAGGCTGACATGCCCAAAGTTGAACGTTATAGTTATACTTATTATTTTCTCATTGCTTAGAAACTTTGGTGTTTCAGATCATTAAACTTCACGAACCTGCCAGTTAACAGAACCGAACCATCCATTGCAACAGAGGAGATGAAATCGTTATGCCCCTCAAGGCATTTTATGGTAAATTTCTTATCTTCCCAATCAGTGAATTGTGCTGCCTTGTCGCGGGAGTTTTTATTGCCTTTCATATCCTCGAAATGACCGAATGTAGTCTGTGGCTTTGAAGTCACACTTTTCTGGGATGTAGTGCTTGCAGTTGCGGGCATTGCTTCTGTCTTCTTGAGAGAAACATCGCGTGTCTCAGTGGAAGAACTTTCTGAATGGTTGCCATTTTTCTTCGTAGGCAGCTTTTTCTCCCCATCTTGCAAATTTCCATCAAAAGCCTCGTTATGCGAAGCAGGTACCCGTTGTTGTGGCTGGTCATTTAACACCGTGGTAATGTTTCCCGCATTTTGAATACTTTCTCTGTTTATCTTAAGATTTTTCTCATTATCTTTAGCCATTGTCATGACATCATCTACTTGGATTTCTTGAAGTTTCTGTTTCAAAATTTCTCGTATATTTGATTTCTTGGAAACCTAAGAAAATCGAAAAGTTGCAATTTTGCTAGCTTCTTACAAATAGCCCAGTAAGCCACGTGTTTGTATTTTTTTTACTACATCTCATCTCTACACTCTATTTAACCTTTTCGCGTTCCTCTTGGGTTAAATCTCTTTCCAATCTCTCTAAATTCTCTATTTGTCGTAATTTTTTCCTGAGTTTTCGAATATCTCCTTGACTCCCGGCATCCGCCATCTTGAATTACTCAGACGGCATCTTTTTCTACGGAGGGAGCAATGAACAGTGAATTGTAAATAATACGTACATATCCCCACCCACCCCTACATAAATTGATTTTGGTAACTTGTGTTTCCACTTAAATATTTTGGAATTCAAAACATAAGTTGTCAACAACGGTGATGCATGACTATTTCGTTTTAAATTCTCTTGAATTTCTTGCCCAAAACTTACAAATCGTACGATCTAGAAATTTGCTGTGGTCCGTACAACCTTCTTTTAAAGTTTGAAGTAAGTTAAAGCTGAGAAAAACTGCAGAATTTGGACGAATTTAGACGAGTATATTTCACATGGCAACAACATCAAAGGATTCAACTGGCACGACATAGATGTCTGCTCAAAATAATCGTTCAACTGTTCGATATTTATCGGATTTTGAGAAATCTGTCCTTCTAAACAATTTTGAAAAGCGAGGATGGATATCATGTGATGCAGAAGATGACTGGAATTTTTACTGGGCCAGTGTCCATAGTGTCCGCAGTATCTTCAATGTTGAAACTGGTTACAGGCTGAATGATGACCAGATTGTGAATCATTTTCCCAATCATTATGAGCTCACTCGCAAAGACCTGATGGTAAAGAATATTAAAAGATATCGGAAAGCTTTGGAAAGAGAAGGCAACTTGATAGGTCTGTTAATAGCTCAATCCTTGTAGTATAATCTTGGTAAACTACTGTTCAGAGTGGTATAATCTGTTTACTCTAGGTCAAAGCACCATTAAGACATTTGCTTAGGCAAAGTTGCACTACCCTGCAGCCTGACTTGCCTGCCTGATTTACCTGCCTGACTTTCCTGCCCTGCCTGCCTGCCTTCCATATTTATTCACATGCAATGATTTGTCAATGTCCAATTTCTCTAAAAATGCTTCAGTGTCATGAAATTGTTAGTCTATCTCATCAACTGCTCACATATGTTGATAGCTCTTGGCAAAGGGCTACCTATGTTCTTTTTCTTTATTTTTGATTGAAAGAATGAAAGATGTTCATCATCTCAAAATCCTCTTTAAATCTTTCATCACTTCCTTCAGTTCAATGATGATCGCAAAGACACAAACTGCTGCATCCATCTTTTCTAAATTTCTCTGTGCTGTAATGTCCAATGAAAAAAGTCTAATTCCTTTACAGCGGAAAAAGATGAACTTGGTCGTTACATTTACTTGGACTTCATCCCAATCACTTTTCTACTCCCAGCAGACTATAACCTTTTTGTCGAAGAGTTCCGTAAGAACCCCTCAAGTACATGGATTATGAAACCAGCGGCCAGATCACAAGGCTCTGGAATATTTCTAATCAACAGGCTGTCCCAAATCAAAAGATGGTCTCGTGATGGTCGTTCTGGCGTACCATCCTACTCCATGTCTAGGGACACCTATGTTATTTCGAGGTACATTGATAATCCGCTTTTGATTGGTGGAAAAAAGTTCGATCTCAGAATTTATGTTTTGGTCACGTCTTATCGACCACTCAAGTGTTACCTTTATAAACTTGGCTTTTGTCGATTTTGTACGGTGAAGTACAACGCTAATGTCAATGAGCTTGATAATATGTTTGTTCATCTCACTAATGTTAGCATTCAAAAACACGGAGACGAATATAATCCCACCCACGGAGGTAAGTGGACGGTGGAGAACCTGCGACGGTATCTTGAAGGAACTCGAGGTCATGAAAAGGCAAGAAAGCTATTTGATGATATCCATTGGCAAATTGTTCATTCGTTGAAGTCTGTCCAACATGTAATGAACAGCGATCGCCATTGTTTTGAGTGCTACGGGTATGATGTGATCATTGATGATAACCTCAAGCCTTGGTTAATAGAGGTAAGAATTAAGAATTATATATTTTTGAGCTGTTTCAAGAATGCGTATTTATTTTATGCTTTACAACGCAGGTTAACGCTTCACCATCAATGACAGCAACCACTACTTCAGATCGGATCATGAAGTACAATCTTATCAATGACGTGATCAATATCGTCATGCCAACTGGCGAAGTCCCGGATATACGGTGGAATAAGGTCCCACCGAGTGAAAATTATGGCAATTTTGAATTGTTGTATGATGAGGAATTGGCAACACAAGAAACTGGAGATGGCCGCGACCTCAAGTCCAAGGGATCTGGGACTAACATTGGCAAACAGGGCAAGGATGCAAAACAGAGGCCGACAACATGGCGTTAGCTACTGTAGCTACAAACATTTTATTTGGCTGGAAAACCTTGTTAATATGTTAAATGAGACATAATGTTCAGTTCAAAGAGTTCATTAATTTGTTTGTATTATACTTTGTTTTCAATAGTCTATAAGATCTATTGAGTTAGTAAATAATATATAGCCTACATCGCATTTCACATTGTAAACCAGTTTAGATAATAACTAAACTAATAAAAACTAAGGCATTGTAATTGCAGTATTTGATTTTCGCCTCACTTGCTTTGAAACCTAATTTAACTGGATGAAAACCAGCTTGGTATAGACGCTTATTGATTTTTCAAAATCCTGTTATTTGCCAACAGCTTATACCTACTTATTAACCACTGTTCTGCGTTTGTCTTTCTTTACAACTAACAAGAAAACCTTTCGTAACTCGGGACAACCGCCAAGACATACCTGTGAGCACATTGAGCTCCGTATTTGAAAGCAGAATATGATTTTTATCGTTTGTACATCACAGCTTGCTCGTCGTTTTGAAGGTTAACCACCATGGACAAATCTTGTCCAAAGAAGATAAAGAAAGTAAGATTCAACGAAAAGGTGCAAGTTTACATTATCCAAACCGAGGACAGAAAATCCACGTATCTTCGCAGTTTGCCAACCGATTGGATTCGGTTCACTCAGGCGAAACCGCTCTCTGAAAAACCGAAGGAAACTTTTAAACCGGATTTTGGAGCAGGACACCTTACACCAAGACAATACCGAGCATCAGACGGCTTGATCGATTTCTATTTACAAAGAAAGGAGAAGCAACCGTTTACTTATTGGGATGTTATGAAGGCCAACTCCTCTTTGACGTTTTCACCAAACACACGATTTCCCAGAGTGGAATTAACAACACCAAAGAACCGGTTATTTCCGAACACACCTTTTCAAAATCAACGACGGTTCTCCGCTCTCATTAGCCAACCGCCAACTCCCTCTTTTCAAAGGAGAACGTTAGACAACAAACAGGGTCAGTTTTCTGAAATTTTAGCGATTTATGGTAACAATCCGTGTCTAAGAACTGCCAAAACGTCTCAGCCAGAATTTTCAATTGAAAACATGAAAAACACTCAAGTGGCTGCCATACATGGCAAAATTCATCACGGGAATGCTGCAAAGGAAAGACGCTAAAGAACGGACAGTTTAATATTTTAACATTTCTTGGGATCGCGACGATTAGACATATCTCGCATGCACCGCTTTCCAGTTTAGAACTTAATTTATATGGGATACATGATATTCTTGTACATCTGTGGATAATGTGGGATTTGATTATGCCATAGTATACAAGTTGCATTATTTGCAACCAAGCGTTGTGTATTCAAAAGGGCAAATGTTGAGGCTGGTTGGACATGAAGTCATGAAGAAGTTTAATCAATTATTTATGATCCTCGTCAGAGAATAACAAGGCCTCAATGGCACCCAGGAGTCTCAGCTCAAGGATAAATATTCGATTAGCGAAAGCACTGAGACATAACAAAGTAGCAGATATCAGCGGATATAGATTAAATTTGGGGTTCTAAAAGTCAAAAGGCCATGTGAATGTTCACGTTTTTAGTTCCTCCACAAACCAGCAATTCCTCAATCGGTTCATACATAGGCTAACGAAAAGTGTGTCAATGAACCATCCCACGGGAAAGCTATATTTCAGCGATTATCAAACAGCAGAATATCTAATATTCATTTGAGCATATCCAAATGTGAATGTACATGGATGAAACCTTAAAAACTTTTTTTTTAATACCAAAAAAATCATTTAGGCCATGAAACTTCTTTCACAAAAGCCTTACGGCTAAATTGATGAAGTTAGGATATGGTTGTCATAGTGATTGAATCTCTTTCCATATTAGAAATAACATGATTGCTTTTAATATGTTTTGTTGGTATTCATATTATATTAATGATTTGATAACAGAGAGCTGTTTATTATATTAAGGACATAATTGTTTCAGTCCAACTAAGGGACCTTAATTTTGATTCAGCTGACATATGCCAATTAATCTCTAGTGCAGACTATATCACTAGTGGTTATCAGTAGATCATGTCTCGAGATTCATTCGATCTACAGTGATGTGCATGGGTAAGCATTAACCAGTAGACGTTTCGTCTACCTCAAAAGACTTCAAATATATTCAAACAAACTGATGACGTGCGTGTATAGCAGGTCAAAAGACCAGTTAAAGAACTTTGTCTCATCGTGTTTGTTGACATGTCCTACGTTTAAGACAGAAAAAAGACATCTTAAACGAATCATAAATTAATTCTCACAAATATATTTTTTTATATCTTCGATCATACCATATGTATCATATAATTTGTACATTTGTTTTGCCAGAAAATATATATAAATGTCTGCTTTCTTATTTATTTGTCCATATCTTTCACAACAAGGGCATTATATTCATGTTATATTAGACAAAAATAATTTTTATCAATGTCAGGTGAAACTTGCACCCACTGAGATCTCATGTGGTATATTTCAGAATGTAGATTTCACGCGAGAGAACGCTGGAATCACGGGAGGGTTGAAAAGGCACGTATTTAATTTCCAGTCAGGTTTTTAAGCGCTTTAAAGAAATTGGAAAAACGTGAGATGCCAAAACGGTTCTCGGCAAAGAACGGGTTGAAAGAAATATAATCTCGTGCATATTTTGAAGAGCTTTATTATTCGATAAAAGTGGTATCTGCGCCCCTACACACCATTATCTTAAAAAACACAAACGCTTCTTTCATTATTATATTTAATAATATAATGACTTAATGTTATCGAAAAATATACAACATTTAACCACGGTTTAAATTATATATATACATATATATTAATCCATGCAAATTATCAAAGACAGTGTCATTTGTGCTATATCATATAGTATAAATTATTATACAAGTATTTCAAGTATAATTAAGTTAGGCGGAGTTGGACTAAATTGCATGCATAGTCATCTTTGATAAAAAGATTAAAGGAAATCGATTAAATATTTTGATAAAGTTTTTCAAAAAAATTGTTGCCAGAACTGCTCGAAGTCAAAGAACTTTGAAAGCGCAGGAAATGAGATGTGTATCACTAACGCTGGTTTTGTTGAGTGTCACGAAAATTATTCCTATTTTTAACACTGCATCTCTCATTTTTCAAGGATTAGAGAAATTGAGAAAGGCAGATCTGCGTTGAATTTTGTCATTTTAAAGTGTTTTAATCAAGTTTTGAATTTCTCAATGGAAAGACGTGGGAGAGAGGTATATTGTATTCAAAATTCCTTGTCAATGAGCAGGTTTTGCAAAGTGAGCACTTAAAGTCTTATACTTCTGCCATTTCTCACGGCAACTGTCAGAATAAGATTTAATTTTATTTACACTTGCGAAACTTGACGCGACGCGGGACGTCTTGTATCGCTACCGAGCCGTTGACGTTGCAATGTTTCCTCATAGCTTGGCAAACCTTGTGAATATCCTTGATCGTAATAATAATCATTATTACCATTTATATCGACATAGTTCTCATAACTCTGCATAAGTCTGCGATGATAGTTTGCAATGGTTGTGTCCGAACACGTTGAGCCACTTCTCTTTAGAGTGACATTAAAAAGATCTTCATCAAAATCGCGTGAATTAAACCTATTATTCTCTGGTATCATACGGCTTCGTGGTACTTCCCGCTGGGCATAGTTATGCACTACTTCATTATTCGAGCACGCATGGCTCCAATCTCCTGTAGGTACAAATCCATCTTCTACACTTGAAGTTGGACATATCTCGAATGTCTGTCTATGTAAACAACGTGAATCTCTGGGTTGTGCTCTACGATAAAGATCGACATCGTTGCGAAAATGCATTCCATTTGATTCATCCGTGCTTTGTACGAACTGCGGCAAACCACAAACGCGCTCCTCCCTTTTCCCCTCCCCTAAAACCTTATCGTGGGTAGGGTAAAATTCTTTTCTCCTACAATGGTTCCTTGGCAAAGTCCTCGAGCCGCTGTCGTAGTATATCCGAGTCGAGCTACGCCCAAATTCATCAAAATCATTTGAAATCTCACCTCCGTATCCCAAGTCCTCGTTAGGGCTTTGCGGTTCAGGTATACTAGCCAAATTCCTGCCTCGAATATCGTGTCGATTGTTGAGGTCCTCGTAATAATAATTATTTTGAGGTGCGATTGTACGCGATAGATTCAGAGCAGAGAGTTCCTCAGATATATCTCGTCTTGGAATTATCCGTTTCCGTTGACGTGGAGGTAGCCTTTCGGACATACTTCGCCGTAATTTTGGTTGAGGGTTTGCATTATGACCCATTTTCATGCTCGTTTGAACATTCAAGTGGGTTTCATGCTGACTCGGGTTCACTGCATTTAAATGGCTTAAATGTTCATACGGACTCCTCTCATTTGATATCCCCCCGTTGGAATGATCCCCAAATGTGTACTGGTTTCTTTCAAACGATCCTCTGGCATTATTTGCAAATGTATTACTTCTTCCACGGTTTTGATCGTAAATATTGTCAGTATTTACTGTGTTTCCTATTTCATGTACTGTTCGAGCTCTTTCTCGACCGCCGCTATCCTGTGTATTCTCGTCCGACTCGTTCAAAACATCCATCACACCGCGACCATCGCTTACAGTTCCACGGCTAGAAATATAACCATTTGCTCTCGTAAGCTTAAATTCACCGTTTCTTACGCTTGAACTCTCCTCTGTAAACACTCCTGAATCAGAGGAGGAATTCGAAACCAACGAATTTCGGGATCCCGCGGGTAAACTTGTTACATTTTGACTCCAATCTTCAGTCATACTCTTTTTCCCTTTTTCTGGACTCTTAGCTTGCTTTTCTTCCGCGGTTTTCTGTAGTAGCTCTGTGATTTCTTTGCTCTTAGCAACGTCAACTGCCAACTTGCCATCGCTGTCCTTTGTACTGATATCCGCACAAGAGGCGATCAAAAGTTTAACGATATCGAAGTATCCTCCCGACGAGGCAAGGTGTAGAGCAGTTCGTCCTTGTTTATCGGTCGCAGCGATATTCGCGCCGTGACTCAACAAAACGTCGGCGACTTCGTAGCGACCATCTTTACAACTCTGCTGTAAAGAGGTGAATCCTTTTTTGTTGCGCTGGTTCACTCTCGCTTGCTGGCCAAGGTTGATCAAAAATTTTACTCTAGTCGCATCACCGTCGGCAACAGCTTGATGAAATACTGCCGCGTTCATGGTATAAATCGCGTTCGACGAAAACCAAGGTCTTTCTTCACATACGCGTGAACTGTGTTTACAGTTCTGACTAAGAAATCAATGTTGATTCGTTGCTAACTTGATGTAGGCGATCTCACCG